CCCCAAAACCCCAAAACCCCATGATTCCATTTTTTTAAAATCAATGTGTTGTTTATAAAAATTTAATTTAAAATCAACAATAGAACTCATTATCAAAATCATAATTCATTTTCAATGTATTCATCAAACGAAAAATCATTTTATGAATCATGATCATTTATTTAGCTTTTGTAAATTCTCTCTGTCTCTATTATTTAAATCGACTATTCTTATTTAGGTGTAATCTCACTATTTTCAAGATCAATTCCATCTTCTTTAATAATCTCATTAAATTATTGTCCGAATAAAAGCTTTTTACACTGTTTTTTAGATTTTCCTTTGACTAAAATTTCCTTATTCAATGTTTTTAAAATACTATCTTTCATAGTCGTAGAGCCTTATGAAATGTTATCGGTTGGCTTATATTTCTCGTCAAGATTTTTGTAAATTCTTTTATCAATCAATGATTCGTTCTTATTTAAAAGTATTTATGCCAAATAGAGTTTCACTTTTCTTCTTTTATTTTTAGTCATTTAATCCCAGCTTTAATTAATGCAATTTTCCTCCATATAAAGTTTTTTAATATTTTTATGATCCTTTATATGATTTGAGATATCATAGTCTTAATTTATCTTGAGAACTTATTTCTTGAAAAATGGAATGAGTTTTCTTTGATACTTTGATAAAGTTATTTTTTTAATTAGGCTTACTAGCACCTGAGTTTTCAAAATCTAAACTATCTCAAATTTCGTGTTTAATTTATTTTTTGCTTGATTGAATAGCAAGTAGTTTTTATTATTTAAATCAGCCAATTTTTTCCCTTAACAGCAATTCAACTTCTACAAAAGATATCCTATCTTGGAGAACTTAAATGTCGTTTTGCTTTTTAAGATTCCCAAAATTCTATTATAGTTGCCAAACACGTTTTCAGGCTAAATTATATTTTCGTTAACTGTTCTTAACTTTATACTGCTTTTCTTAAAAAATTTATTATTCCTTGTATCAGTTAGAGAGATTGAATCTTGCTTATTAATTTGAAAAATATCCTGGGCCAATTATTGGTAGTAGAAATTTTCTTGAGTCTTTGAAACCAGAAATTGTATAATGATTGTTACAATTCCTATAATTCCTCCTGTATTAGAAAGAGCATCTGATATTGTATAAAGTTCAAGATTAGTACTCAAAACATTATCGTCAATCATCATGTTTAGACAAATTAATACTTATTCTGTGCTTATTTGCGATGAAGATATCTACATAACATCATCCCTTATTGTGTAGTAAGTCTCATTCAACTAACTGATTTAATTAGATAACGAAGATGTGGAAGTAATGAGAAAATTCTAACCGACTTTCAACTAATATTAGATAGTCATATTGAGGTAGCCTGTTGAATAAAAATTCTTTAGCACTGTTTTTATAGGGCTTGAAGATTTCTCATTGATATCTATAAACTGATTAGTTGCTACCATGTTGACTTGAAATGAATCAAGGAATTTTCTCATACTATTATCATCTGCACACCTTGCTGATTAATTTTTAGCACTAAGATTAGTTTGATTGCATTTAGATATTTTCAGCCTTGAAAACTGCATGTCTTTTGTAGTGAAACTACCTTGAAATGAGGCGCTATAGTTTACTGGGCATAAATAATTTTATGTTATACCTAAACTCTCAGTTTAAAATGTTTCACCTTTGAATCTATGCTTCCCGCACTTACCAATCTCAAGCAACTTCAATTTATAAGAAAAGGATTTTCCATCTGGAGTCCAATTGAATTCTCCTTATTCAAAGGTGATATTAACATAATTGTCTATACTAGTAAGTTACTCCTAAGATAAACCGTAAATGCTAAATCCAACGTCAAAGTCATGCTAATTAATTGTATAAGTTCTAGTATCAACAAATAGGTTTCTCTTGATCATTGAATTTGTAACGGTGTATTTTCTATCAACAACCTTTATTAACTCAAATACGAGATAGATGAGAATACCTATTTTAAAGGCAATCGTGAGAAATCCACCAAATTTAGTTTTAAATGTTGAACTTTACTTATAGTTAAAAGTTATTGGGTGACCAAAGTTGTCTTGAGATCTCATAAAATCTTTTAATTTCTCGAGTGTTTTATTAGAGCCATTTCTGTTTTTTATTATCTCCATTTTTCTTTATTTTATATGCTATATTAATTATAACTAGTAATTTGCAATCCAGAGCTTATCTATGAAGACTTAATATAATTTTTAAAGATTAATTCTTCTTCATTACAATATTTGGATATTGGGGTTTTGGGGTTTTGGGGTTTTGGGG